GGAGTCTTCCAAAAGGTCTCTGAACTTGGAGATCCCAATATTCACTTGGTATGCTAAAAGATGCTACTGAACTCGCACAAAATAATAAAACTAAGGGCCTATTGCCTAGGGAATAAAGTTGTTTGAAATGAGATTTAAACATGACAAAACAAACTTTTTCAAAGAGCATAATTAATTTGTCAAATTTACGACAAGATGTGTCAATGACTACTAATTTGAATTACTTTAAAAAGGGATTAGATACATTTAGAATAGAATTCTTTATTGGCCAAATGTGATTGGACACCCAAGGAATTTGTCTTGGTACAAATGGTCTCAGTATACATAAAAGAAAAGATACATTCATCAAGAATCATAAGGTACAACACTTAATGATAGTCATAGGGTACAATAAGCAATCAAATGGTACTAGGAAACAGTAAATATAAATCGTAAGAATACATTTATGCAACAATACCTATCAATGACTATTGGTCTTGAAAACTGTTACATATGGGTTGGAGATATTATGCTTTACATACGAAACTAATGACAGGGGAACAACAGTGGAGTGTACTTTCCTGTTCTATTTATAAGCCAAGGAATTTGTTTGATCATTATAAGAAACAAAATGCTCAGCTAAGATGGATCTTTGCCTGATGCAGTAGGGCTGCACTTAAGATGATATGAAAATAATGGACAGAATAGTTCTGTCTTCATCATATTAGAACTGAATGACATTGAATTAGGAATTAGGTGAAAAGCAAAAAACAGGACAAGACCTTTCACCCAATGTATAATTTTGTAAATTTTGATGTTGCAGAAGCAATATGCATGTGTGAAAAAAGTAGATTAAGGGATATTTTTCATCATTGATTAAATTTTACTGAACCACTCACCAGCTTTTCATACTTTTGATATTTTTCTATGGAAGCTGTTCAGGATGACTTGAAGACATTGTATTTTTATGGCCTGCTGGTTGCTTTATAGTAAAACCATGAAGCATCAAGAATTCTATCTTCTATACTGTACAGTGTCAGTGAAACTAATGTGTAATTATCCAATGATTTTATGAGGCACTAATAATATAGTGACATAATTAATTCCTTTTCATTTAAATCAAGTAATTCTGATTGATTCAACAAGATTCTTTCATCATTATTTATTAAATTTGTTTTGAAGTTTGATTCTCAACTGTTTTTAATGAGGAACAGTCACAGCAACTCAGCATTTCATCAAAATGATGAAATGTGTAGTGATGTCACAATGCACATATTTTATGTATTATGAGTAATGTTATATCACTAAAGTACAAAAGGGGCAAAATTTTCATCACAATTTAGAGATGGCCATGTTGCCATTAGTTAAAAAATGATCACTGACAGCAAAATTGATATTTAGATTCCAGCTGTTAATATGCCAATTATTAAAAAATAAATATGTAATATTCAATTCAGAATAAGAATGCTTCCTCATTCTGAATTGATAGAAATATGTCACTTTGATACCTGTGGAAATGACTGAAAGCATTGTTTCTAAATAAATTTGGCCAGATACCAATAAAGATGGATTATTTAGATAATTATAATATGTATTTTAAT